TCGACTTGGGTTCCACTTGTAATTCTGCCCCTGCCTTGTGTGATCTTTGACAGGTGACAACTTCTTGAAGCCTCAGTCTCTCTAACTATAAAATAGGGACAATGCCTATCTCTGAGAGATAGTTTGATGATTAAATGACATAACACATATAAAGTGCCTGGTTCAGAGAGTAGAGGTAAACAGTTGTAAATTTGTCTCACACCTCTTGGGGACAAGTGTTTGCTCTTGTGACAGGTGGACTGAATGTCCTCAGTTTTCAGAGCTGCTCTCCTAGGCCCCTAGGCAGCCAGGAGCACCACTGGTGCCTGTGACTTCCTTATTCTGGAAGCAGAAGCCCCACCTCTACTGGGGATAATCATGTGGCCTTGGGTCCTGGCTCTTTTTTCCTAAGAATTAATGTTCCTATATATGAAATAAAAGTATAAGGCTATTGCTTGAATAATTCAAACTGAAAAAAAAGCACTAAATTTAAATATTTTATATACAATGCAATTTAAATACATATTTAGAACTAAGCTAATATTAAATATTGTAATTAGATGTTTGGTTATTATATATATATATATCCATAGCTATAAGAGTTGATATATTCCAGTTGTCTAAAATAAAACTTTGTTTTGGCGTCCTCATTGAAGATGGGGAATCCTCTTAAAAAAATAAAAGCTCAAGGTTGACACAGCTTGATGGGGGTTAGGGATCTTCTGAGGGAAGGGAAGAATTGCTGGACAAAGGTGTTGTGACACAAAGAGAGTAATGTCCTCTGTGTCCACTCTGGGACCCGTAACCTCCCTGGGACAATGCTTGACCACTGTGATGTTTCCCCATCTCTACCCTGTGCTACAGCAGCCCCTCTTCAGAGGGGTGATCTTTTAAATTCACCTCCGTCCCCAGCTACAAGCTTGTCTCCTGACTTTCTGACGAGGATAGCTGGGTTGCTCTTTGTCTGTCTGTTTCTTCCCATCTTGCCCAGGGGAATATATATGAAACCTGGTTGCTATAGACAGAGTAAAAGGGTTGGATAATCCATATTTTCCTGCTATTCCTATTCCATTTATTTTAATGATGTAGAAAGTAGGGAGCAGTGAAAGGGGGTCACTTGCTCAAGGTTACACAGTCAGATAGTGCCAGGCCTGGGCCTGGAATCCACACCTCCTAATTCACAGCCTTTCCCAACCACCACACCTCTGCTTTCTTCTATCCTCCTGGGCTGGCTTTTTTATGTCACCCAGAAAACTTCCAGGTGGCTTCTTACTGCTTTCAGTGGCTGTCAGTGCAAGGAATACACATGGAACACATAAGTCTAAAAGAAATACCATAAGTCCTCACTTAACATTGTCAGCAGGTTCTTAGAAACTGTGACTTTAAGTGAAATGACACATAACAGTTCTTCGAATAACATGGTTTAGTTATAACATTGATGAGAAAAAAAAATTGATTTCATTTTATGTTGTTTCACTTAACGCTGCAATGTCTGAGAACCTATTGATGATAAATGAGAACTTTATTATTGTCTGATATGCTAAAAATCAGACAATATCCTTTAATACCAATTGTGAATTATTTTTGTATGCAGACATGAACAGATAGTTAAAATGCAACGTGATATTTGTTATACTAGAAGGATGGTCAGAGTGCTGTGGAAACTGAGAAGAGGGACTAATTAACTTATCCTGGGGGAAATTAACCCTGCTTCTCAAAGGTGGAACATTTGGACAGGTTTGAAAGGATGAATAGGAGTTTATATGAAAAGGAGGGGAGCAAGAAAGAGTATTTCAGGAAAAGGGAACAGCATTTTTGTAGACAGAGTCATGCAAAGTTTGGTGTATTGGGATTGGGGCTAGAATGAAGCTAGAATGAGAATAGAGAAAGATAAGGCCAATTTGGAAAGGGCCTTGAATGCCAAGCTGAAGATTTTGGCTTTAAGACCAAGGGAGATAGAGGATATGTGATAACGCCTTATCTGACCTATTCAGTTTTTTTCTCTTTTATTCACTCTGCTAATGAGGCTATGTTTAGTTAAATTTGGGCATTTGGTACCAGGGAGTTGGAAGCCTTGAAGAAATCACTTTCAACAATTAGAGCAGCTTTTCTATCCTGGGGTAAATGAGGAGGGTCTCCCCTGGGTGAGCCAAATAGAAGGAAGGGACAGTAACTTTATTCCCCTGGATGATGTCACTTGTGGAGGGCATCTTTCTTCACTTATGGCCACTGTTCTTGACAGGCAAGAGAATATCCAGGAGATTCCAGATGCAATTCTGTCATTAATACCCATGGCTCAGCAAAGACTCATGGGTTTTTCTTTTTTTGTCCAAGGGGGTGGTGGGATGGGAAGAGTATTACATTTATTTTATTTTTTATTTTATTTTTTTTAGAGACAGTCTCACTCTGTTGCCCCAGTTGGAGTGCAGTGGCATGATCATAGCTCACTGTGACCTCTAACTTCTGGGCTCAAGTGATCCTCCAAAGTAGCTGGGACTACTGGCACACATCACTACACCTAGCTAATTTTTAAGTTTTTTTTTGTAGAAATAGGGTCTTGCTATGTTGCCCAGGTTGGTCTCTAACTCCTTGCCTCAAGTGATCCTCCCACCTTGGCCTCAAAAATTATTGGGATTATAGGTGTTAGCCACTGTGTCCAGCCTAAACTGTTATTTTAAATGAATTTGTGGATTTTGATTTTTCTAGGGTATATCAGTTAGCTTTTACCGCATAATAAGCCATCCTAAAACATAGTAGTTAAAAAATTAAGCTTTAGTTAGTTCATGATTCTACAAGTTGGCAGTTTAAGCTGGAATTCTTGGGGTCGTTCTGGTTTGGGCTGGGCTTAGCCAATCGTGGCTATGTTCAGTACTGTGTCTATGTTCAACTAGTGGGTTAGTTGGGACTAGCTGGTTTATGATCGCCTCAGGTGGGATGCCTGAGACAACTAAGGTCACTCTACGCATGCTCGCTCCTCTTCCAGCAATCTGAATTCCGGGTTAGATTTTTCACATGACAGTCTTAGAGTTCTTAGAGCAAGAGCAGAATTATATAAAGCGACTTGATGTCTAGGTTTGGAACTTGTTGATTGTCACTTTTGCTGCATTATGTTGGCCAAAGCAAGTCACAAGGCCAGCCTAGATTCAAAGGGTAAGAGAGTCCTCCTACTTTTTGATGGTAGGATTGCAAGGGTATGGTTGCAAGAAGGGGAAGAGTTTGTGGCCATTTTTTCAACCAACTACTCAGACTATCTAACTTTTATCACTAGGGAGAATTGATAATTGAGGTTGTTGCCTTACTATGAATGATACATGAGGAATCTTTTGAATTCAAAGTCTATATTCATAGAGAACTATATGCTTTCTCAAGTACTATCTAATTTAACCTTCACAGCAATTCTTAATTTCCCTTTCTATTTTACATATGGAGAAACTGGGGCACAGAGGAATTAAGTGAGATTAATTGACTTGCCTGGGGTCATTGGGTGGTAAATCTGGTATTCGGACTTATATTCGTCTGACTGCAAGCCAAGAGCAACTACCATTGTATCATTCTTTTCTATTTTTTTTTAATTTCAGCATATTATGGGGTTACAAATGTTTAGGCTACATATATTGCCTTTGCCACACCCAAGTCAGAGTTTCAAGCGTGTCCATCTCCCAGATCATGTGCACCACACCCATTAGGTGTGTATTATACCCACCCCCTCCTCCTCCCTCACACCTGCCCGACACCCGATGAATGCTACTACTGTATGTGCACATAAATATTGATTCATTAATACAAATTTGATGGTGAGTACATGTGGTGCTTGTTTTTCCATTCTTGTAATACTTCACTTAGTAGAATGGGCTCTAGCTCTATCTAAGATAATACAAGAGGTGCTGGATTACCATTGTTTTTTTGTGGCTGAGTGGGACTACATGGTATACATATACCACATTTTATTAATTCTCTCATGTATTGATGGGCATTTGGGTTATTTCCACCTCTTTGCAATTATGAATTGTGCTGCTATCAATATTTGAGTGCAGATGTCTTTTTTTTTTCCTTTGGGTAGATGCCCAGTAATGGGATTGCTAGATCAAATGGTAGTTCTACTTGTAGCTCTTTGAGGTATCTCCACATTACATGAGATAAGGCAGAGAAACTGTGTTGGTACTGCTGCATTCACTGCCATAGCCCACCCCTTTCCAGGTCATCCTCATCCCTGGACACAGGTGTCTTGCTGTGCTCAAGGGGCTCGTTTCCTTGTTCCCAGTGGGATGACTGCTTTTGGGGTGGGCCTGGAGAGTCACTATAGTCTCCAAGATGGCAGTCTTCTGCCGCTTATATAATTCAGAAGCCCACTATGCTGAGGAATGTGTTAGAGAATGTTGCATTTCTCTGGAGAGAGGGAATAGGTCAAGTTGTTCATAGGTGAAACATACATATATATGATGCACTCAATAGGAACTAGGTGGAGATAGCCCAGCAGTAGACCTCTGAGCCCTAGGGGCAGACTGATCAATATTGGCTATAAGAAGAGGAAAATACTTCCTAGATGAGCAGGCATGGAACCTTGCTTTTCTAGGAGGCTCTAGCTTTGAGATTTTTTATTAATCCTGCTACATAGTAACCTTAATAACTGGAGCTATGTCCTGGCTAAACTGACTCTCTGGCTCTTGGCCAGTGATGGGAGCTGGGCTCTTGGATATGGAATAAAGAATGGGAGCAGCAGGAAGGCCCCTAAATTATCAGAACCAGAGCAGGGTTGGGCCTTTAGTAGCATTATTTATGGGGATGGGTAGAAGATGGGACCAGGTAAATACAAGGATGTGAGGAGACCATACGGTTTGTAGGGCAGGCCATTAATGGGGTGGTCATGTTCAGGGTACCTATTAGCATCACACATAGCTCATTTTGGCACAAGTGGGTATTGCCACATATCTTAGTGTACTAGAAAGCTTTGTGTCTAGGCCCGTGTGTAATCTGCCATGTTGCTCTGACTCTGCTGTCTTTCTTTCCCTCCTCCTCCCCAGAGCTCATCTCCTGTCCTGGGTGTAAGCAAGTGTATCTTACCGAGGATGTAGCTGAACATTTTTTTCTGCAGTGCATTCCTGCTGGGCAACCCAAGATGGCCAGGGTAAGTCAGGACAAGGAAAGCAACAGTTGATCCTTTTCAGAAATCTGTGAGTCCTGTGTCCATAAGTCTGTGTTATTCCTTTTATCAATTTGCCCAATCATCAACTATCCTTCCATCCTTCTATCTAGAAAAAAATAAAAATGTTTGAGTTGGGGAAAGCAAAGAGGGAGTTTTCTATTAAGTGAAAATTACAGGCTTTTTGTTTTTAGTATTAATGCTTTGAGCAGAAGGTGAATGCTATCTTAAAGTACTTTAAGAATTGCTTAATATAACTAGATATTTTTCTCTCTCTTATAGCTTTTACTGAAAAATATTAGCAGTGGGCTTTTATTTCCTTTTCTATACTACTAAGTTGAAATTCATATACCAGCCTGGATTAAATGGGCTCGTTAATCTTGCCTGTATTAACAACTATCACTTTTTCCTGAATTTCTTAAATTTTATATCATTTACTGACTGATACTCCTTCTGTTCCTTCTCCACTAGAGTAGCCTTGCCACTACATTTTATTCATTCACTAATTTACTTCCTTATTCCTATATCTAATTCTTATTGAATGTCTGACATGTGCCAGGTCCTGTGCTGCATGCTAAGGAGATAGATTCATGTACTCTACCTTCAAGGAGTTCATAGTATAATTAGAAAAACTTCCAGAACCAACATCAGTTAGGTGGCCTGTATGATCCAGGCATACACAAGCCAAGTTTTCCCAAATCTTCTCTTCTCTTGATATTTTATATAAGCCCTAGCAAGATATTTGCTGACCAAATAAATGAACATTTGGATTAGGAGATGCCTAGGTACTCTCAGAGCAGGCAAACTCCAGGTGTGGAAACACAGCTCTGAAAGTTGGTCTGTACTTGCTCTTTCTTGACTAATTTGATCATCTTTCTGTGTACTCCCACATTTGGGGCTCTCTCCTCTCTGAAGGCACATTGAATTTTCTGCTTATGCCTGTGCTTTCCCTGTATTATGACAATTTCCTCCCTTGTTGGCCTGGTGAACCTACTTGTCATTCAGCATCCAACTCAGATGTAATAACCTTTTTGTGAAAACCTTCCTAGCCACTCCTAGACTAAGTTCCTGGAAACCTCCCTATGCTTCCTTAGTTCTTGTTGCATTCTTTTATCACAGCGTTACTCATCTAATAGGTACCATCCTGTCCAGCCTGTGCATATCTTGAGGTCAGGTCCCTGGCTTGTTCCCCTGGGTGTCCTCAGCCTCAGGACTAGTGTGAACAGCCCCTGAAGCAGCCACTGTTCCTTTAGTCACAAAGGGTACTTTGCTTCACAAGCCCCCACATGTCCCCAGGCAGTGCTCCGTAATAGATTACACTCCAGAATAGTGGAGGAACAGCCACATGGAACTGCAATCCTTAGAGCATTTGCCACTTGTAAGGCAGGTCCAAATGAGGATATTGTCAGTAACTCTAGAACTCTCTGCTTCCAGAACTGCTCCGAGTGCAAGGAGAAAAGGGCAGCACACATCCTCTGCACCTACTGCAATCGCTGGCTGTGCAGCTCTTGCACAGAGGAGCACCGGCATGGCCCTGCCCCTGGTGGCCCGCTCTTTCCCAGGGCCCAAAAGGGATCTCCAGGTACCAATCGCCCCTCTCCCCACCCACTCCCATGCCATAAAGCAATACTGAACCCTAAAATCCCTGGAGAAATAGCTCTTTGACCTTGTTTCCTTGCTGGGGGAGAAGGTAGGGGTAGTCTTGGAGCCTTTACTAAAGGAAGAAAGCCTCCTTCAGAGTCAAAGGGGTGACTCACTCTAGTCTCTCCCTGTTGGAGGTGAGTGTGGGTGAGTGTGGGTGAGATAGTGTATGGAGGAATAGTGTTGAAAGTTGTGAAAGTTAGCTGAGTTCCCTACCGTTCACCTCTATTTGGAGCAAACACACCTCACTTCTACTTAGTTACATGATTAACTTGATAGTCTGGATTAGAGGTTATCCATTTGTTTATCCCACATCATTTGTTTTAAATGACAGTCTTCTTGAAAGTCTTTTCCCAAGGCCCTTGAATTGTGGGAGGGGTTTTACATTTGTCAAACCCTCAGGAACCAGAGTTCATGATCTATGTGATCTAACCTGGAGCCTGGCAAGACTGGGTAGCTGATTTCAGCCCTGTAGTAATAGGACCCTGATAAAGATAGAGGTTTAGGTTAATTGTGCAGTATTCATTATTCTGCAAGAGATCCATGTGCAGCAGTAGCAAGTACCTTCCTCAGCTTCTGGCAGGTGGTGGGATGCTGGGGCTTGATGGTGTGCTATTTCTAGACAGCTGGGCAAATCCAGCTGGGCTGAGCCTGAATTCCTCCTTGTGGCCCCGTAGAGGCATATCCTGTTTGCACCACCCTCCCCCAAGTTCTGTATCTCTGTGGTGTCCACTGAAGGCCAAGGGCTGCTCAGCAAAACTTAACCTGAGGTCTACCTGAGGCAGAGAAGCCCACTTTCTCCATCTTCTCTGGCAGGAGTGAATGGTGGTTCTGGGGACTTCACCTTGTACTGTCCTCTACATACACAGGAAGTACTCAAGCTATTCTGCGAGACCTGTGATGTGCTCACATGCCATAGCTGCCTAATGGTGGAACACAAAGAACACAGGTGGGGCTGGCGGGCTGTCTGAGGTGGGCTTGGGAGGGTTCTGGACTCCTTACTTGTGAGAACTCTGGGTTACCAGTGCATCAAAATCCTCTCCCTGCCCAAGCCAACCTGCAGCCCCTGGGCTAAAGTTTTTCTCTGCTCTTGTTGTGGGGCTTCTTTGGAAAAGAACTAATGGGCCAAGAACCTGCAGTGCCTTGGACTTTCCTAGATGTAATCATAGCCTTCATGGGCCTGGCCGAGACAATGCACTGTGGAGACTCCTGCTTGGCTGGCATGCTCAGACTAGAACTTGGCCCTCCTCAGCTTTTTTTCTGCCTCATCCCCTAGGTGCAGACATGTTGAAGAAGTTTTGCAAAACCAGAGGATGCTTCTGGAAAGTGTGACAACACAGGTGGCACACAAGAAATCCGGTCTACAGACATCTGCAAAGCAAATTGAGGACAGGTAGCACAGGCTGGAGCCTTGCCAGTGCTGGAAATGCTCTGTTCTCTCCCATCCTGGGTTCCAATGACGGGCGGTCAGATGCAGTGCCTATGAAGGAGACATGCGACTAAGCAGATATGGACATATGTCCTGGCATTAGAGGTCTTAGGGACAGTGAGGGGTCTTTGAGTCATCACCTTGGGACTGAGGCCCAGCTAGGTCAGGATGATCAGAATGAGTCTGGACCAAACTATGAACTTATGAACTAGCTAGAAGTAGGTGCTTGAGGATAAAGGTACAGAGTAGATACTGGGGAAGAGAGTGCTGTTTATTATGAGGGTGTAACAAGTCAGTGGCAATCTGCCCTTTATTACCCTTTTCCTAGTGTTTTCTATACAAATCTATAAATGATATGAAATCATTGATATTTTACATAGGAAGAGGAATTAGTAGGCACTGAGAGCTCATCATGTGTCAGGCACTGGGTTGGACATCATACATGCATTATTTTGTTCAATTCTTATAATTCTTTCAGCCAGGGATTATCTCCATTTTACTGATAAAGAGATTGAGGTTCAGGCCGGGTGCGGTGGCTCACGCCTGTAATCCTAGCTCTCTGGGAGGCCGAGGCGGGCGGATTGGTCGAGGTCAGGAGTTCGAAACCAGCCTGAGCAAGAGCGAGACCCCGTCTCTACTATAAATAGAAAGAAATTAATTGGCCAACTAATATATATACAAAAAATTAGTCGGGCATGGTGGCGAATGCCTGTAGTCCCAGCTACTTGGGAGGCTGAGGCAGGAGGATTGCTTGAGCCAGGAGTTTGAGGTTGCTGTGAGCTAGGCTGACACCACGGCACTCACTCTAGCCTGGGCAACAAAGCGAGACTCTGTCTCAAAAAAAAAAAAAAAAAAAAAAAAAAGAGATTGAGGTTCAGAGAGGTTAGGTGACTCATATGAGGTCACACAGCTAGTCAATGACTGAGCTGGATTTGAAAGCTAGGCCTATAGTGACTTCATAGCCCATGCCCTTTTCTAAAAAAACAACTTCACTGAGTTATAATTTACATACCATAAAATCACCCTTCTAAAATGTATAATTCAGTGGCTTTTAGTATTTTCACAGAATTGTACAACCATACATAATCACTATCTACTTTTAGAACATTTTCATTACCCCAAAAAGAAACCCCACACTCAGTATTAGTCACTCCCCATTCCCCCTGATACTCCCCACTCCTCAGAAACCACTAGTCTGTTTTCTGTCTCTGTCCATCCTCTTTTTATCTCAAAGCACCATTTATTGGAGTGTCCTCCTTTTTAAGACAGCAAATTATGTGAAATCATACCCATACTCTTTCTCTTGGTCCTGCCTCTAGTGCTGTGCCAACTGGTGAGCTGCTAGGTTTACCTAGAGAAAACCAAGTTGAACTTTGGGCCACTGGCCAGCTGAAATCAAGTGGGCTGGGTTGTACAAAGGGCAGGGTGGTAGAGGAATATTCTCTTGTCTTTATATTTGGTGTCTTCTGGGCCCTGATATATTAACAGGTAGCCTCCAAGTTTGGCTCTTGTGTTTGCTATCTCTCAGTCCTTATAGGCCATGAAGAAAGGGCTTACCATGTTTGTTGTCCCATTATGTTTACAGGATTTTTGAAGTGAAGCATCAGCATAGGAAGGTGGAAAACCAGATCAAAATGGCCAAGATGGTTCTGATGAATGAGCTGAACAAACAGGCCAATGGGCTCATAGAAGAGTTGGAGGTATATGTGGACAGATGGATGAGATGAATGGGTTCTGTTCTCTCACTGGGTCAAAAGCTAGGCACATATCAAACAGTCCCAGGGCCCAGAGGAGTCTGGGTTAGAATTTAGATATGTAGTTTCCATGGCTCTCCGCTGCTCCCTGTATCTTAAAATGTCCAACCTAATTTTGGGAAGGTGCCTCATTAAGGGCTGGAAAATCAGCTCAAATTCTCATCAATGCTCTGTATGGCTCTTAGGCAGCTACCATCCTTGACTGTGATCTAGTAAGAGAAAGTCACAAAACAACCACCTTCTCTAGCAAGTTATACCCAAGAGATGTAGACATTCATTCATTTCCTTATTCATTTATCACCCATTCCATATTGCACTATAAAATCTCCCACGAATCTCTCCTTCCACTCCTCCATCCATCAGTAGTCCATGGCAGCACTCTGTCCTGCTGTCCTCCTCTTAGGGATGTAGTCTCATCTGATTCCATCAGTGTAAACACTGACATACATAGGCAACCGGATTTCCCAAGTAGGCAGACTTCAGTCCAAGAACAGAATCATGGACTCTGTCTTCTCTCTTTATACCCAGGGCATTACTAATGAGAGAAAGCGGAAGCTGGAACAGCAGTTACAGAGCATCATGGTTCTCAATCGTCAATTTGAGCATGTGCAGAATTTCATCAGTTGGGCTGTCTGCAGCAAAACCAGCATCCCTTTCCTTTTCAGCAAAGAGCTGGTAAGAGCAACCACCAATTCCTCAGCCTGTCCTTGAAGCTGATCAGAGTACTGCCACCTTTGCCATACGGGCAGGGAGGCTATCCTTGGAAGTGCTTTTTTTTTTTTTTTAAGGATGGAAGGGGGACTAAGATAGCTCTATCCATCTTTCAAATTCAATCACTGTTTTTGGGTTAGTAAATAAATACCATCTTTTTTTTTTTTTTTTTTTTTTTTTTTTTTTTTTTTTTTTTTTTTTTAGTTCTTAATAAAAAGCCTTCATTTAAATACCATCTTTTACCAAACCCCATGTACAGAGGACCTGGGTAACTCAGCTGGGAAAGTCTGCAGTTCTTTGTTACTGCCAGGCAATGGTGGTGGTAGAATGGATTACTGCCAGGCAATTATGTTGTCAGGGAGAATTCAAATCATTTGAGGCCTGGAAGAGATAAGAATGGAAGGGTTCCAGAAGCCTTGAGAAGAGGAAGCAGATCAACTGGGTGGATGGGAAGGTACTAAAGTACAAGGGAATGAAAATATGGGGGATGACCAGAGGCTAAAGAGCCATGACTTTAAGCCTTTCAACCTGTCCAAAGAGTGAGGGAGAGGAAGTTGTCACTCAGGCACAAGATGCCCAGATAAATTACCTTTGGTGCTGTTGTCAGATTGTGTTTCAGATGCAACGATTGCTGGAGACAAGTTGTAACACAGATCCTGGCTCCCCTTGGAGTATCAGATTCACCTGGGAGCCTAACTTCTGGACCAAGCAGCTGGCTTCTCTTGGTAAGCCAGGGTGCACCCTGTGGGCTTTGACCTAATTACTAGGAATGAATATAGACCATGTGCTTAGCTTACTGGGTAGGTCAGCATTTGCTCATGAGAAAGTATTCCCTGAGACTGCCAGTGGTTATGGAGTCATTCAGCAAGCCTTTTTCGTGGGGCCTAGAGAGAATGGGGAAGTTAAATAACCATGGCAATATAGGACTTTGTATTAGGGCCAGTTGAAATCTGAGTTTAACCATTCTGCACAAATGTCCCTGCTATCTTGGTTTCATTGCTGGAGAGGAGATGAGGCAGTGGTCCTGCTCTCCAGAATGCTCGCATTGCAGGCAAATGTGTATCTCTGTAGGTACCCAGGGTATACGTGTATGGGCACAAGCAGGGGTATCTCAGCAACATTGAGACTGTGTGTGTGTTTATGTATGTGTAGATTATATACACATCCTTCCGAATTGAGATGTAAGCAGATAATTCATGACCTTATGCATTTTTCTTCCCTGCTGCAAATTGCTGGCATTCAGCCTCTAGGCAGACTGTGGACAATTTGAAGTTGTGACTGTGTTGACAGCCTAATGAGTTTGTTAAATTAATGGCCAACTGCTGTCTTCCTTTGGACTGTTTATCCTGTTGAAAGTTATCAACTTTCAGTTAATCTTGACAAAAGTTATCAGTGATATTTAGGTTTATTTTCTGCTTCCCTCTCCATTTTGATTTAATTCAGCAGACCTTTGGTGGCCATGTGCTCTGGGGTAGACCCTGTGCTGGGCACTAAATGACCAAAGGTGAATAAAACACACTCCTTGCCTTTGAGGAGCTCAGTCTTCCTCTAAGTAAGCCTCATCAAAACCATGAGGTGATGGGGCCATTAGGCTGAGTCAGTGGTAGATTTACTCATGCACAAGGGGCCCAGGGACCTCAGAGGGCAGTTCTGGTGCCTGGCCTGGCCTGGTATTAGGGCTCCCCACTCTCTTCCATCCTACTTGCTCAACACACAATTCCGCACACCTGTGTCTGGAGACTTGCTCAGTCAGGGATGACTTTCTACTGTTGGCTGCTTTCTAGCACACTCCCTCCCCAATGTTGATTCCTTTTGTGAGAGTCTGATTGGGCTCTTCTGTTAAAAAAAAGGAGTGGGTGCTATTCGAGGGAGTCCATGGTTCCCCTAGTGAGACAGAAACAGAGTCAGGGCTGAGCATCTGGTAAAGCTAGGCTAATTTCTGAAATATCCCAGGCCCCCTGGAACAGGTCCGTACAGGCGCTATTACTGGAAACATCCTAGACTGAGTCTTGGAGGTCAGGGGTTGAATTTCTTAATGCCTGTATCCTTTGGTAACAGGAGCAGGAAGTAGCAAGGGGGGAGCAACTACAGATTGCTTTTCGAAAAACTCTGTTCTGAATTTCCAGGCTGCATAACTACTGAAGGTGGACAACTGTCTCGGGCCGATGCTCCTGCTTATGGAGGCTTACAGGGTCCATCATCTTTTTACCAAAGCCTCCAGTCTCCAGTGGCTCAGCAAGAGGCTCTTAGCCACCCCTCACACAAGTTCCAGTCTCCAGCACTGTGCTCCTCATCTGTGTGCTGCTCCCACTGCTCTCCAGTGTCACCTTCCCTCAAAGGCCAGGTCCCCCCACCCAGCATACACCCAGCCCACAGCTTTAGGCAGCCCTCTGAGATGGTGCCCCAACAGCTGGGGTCACTGCAGTGCTCTACCCTGCTGCCCAGGGAGAAAGAGCTGGCCTGCAGTCCTCATCCACCGAAGCTGCTGCAGCCCTGGCTGGAAACCCAGCCGCCTGTGCAGCAGGAAAGCACATCCCAGCGGCTGGGGCAGCAGCTGCCTTCCCAGCCTGTGTGCATTGTCCCCCCACAGGATGTTCAGCAGGGACCCCACACCCAACCCACCTTGCAGACACCCTCTATCCAAGTCCAGTTCGGCCACCAGCAGAAGCTGAAGCTTAGTCACTTTCCACAGCAGCCACAACAGCAGCTGCCCCCTCCGCCCCCTCCCCCACCACCTCCCCCACAGCAGCCATCCCCACCTCTACCTCCCTCCCAGCATCTGGCTTCTAGTCAGCATGAGAGCTCTCCTGGGCCTGCCTGTTCCCAGAATGTGGATATAATGTACCATAAGTTTGAGCTGGAGGAAATGCAGAAGGACTTGGAGCTTCTCCTTCAGGCTCAACAGCCCAGCCTGCAACTGAGTCAGACCAAATCTCCTCAGCATCTTCAGCAAACCATCGTGGGGCAGATCAACTACATCGTGAGGCAGCCAGCACCCGTCCAGTCCCAGAGCCAGGAGGAGACCCTGCAGGTAAGCCTGAGAGTGGCTTGAGGATATGTTCTGCCCATCCTAGGATTGCTCAGGAAACACAGCCTCTGCAGTCACAAGGTGGCACAGGAATACAGTCTCTTCATTTCAGTCTCTCTCCAGCCCCTACATTTCAAAACTATCCTGGGGTCAACCTCCCTTCTCAGGAAAGCTCCAGAGAACACAATACATAGTCCCAACAAAGATCTAGGCTTCGTACTCTCCAGAGTAGCCTGGCTTAGCCCTGCCTTGCTGGATGATACTAGGAACCTTGTCCATAGATGGTACTATCTAGCTATGCTGGACTCCTGCCAGTGCTAGGGCAGAAGGGAGGCTATCTCTTAACTTTATAACCTCTCCAACTCCCTTGCTGGACACTTATGAATCCCAGACAGGGGAAGGGCAGAGCTTAGGGAGTGGTGTAAAGGTCTGCATTAGGTACTACTGGGCAGCACTTTTATCACACTGCACAGATATAGACTTAAACTTTATTTCACATCTGCTAAACTAGGTGTGTTCTGTATGTACTATATCATCATCCTACCAACAATGCTGTTTGGTAGGCGTTACCATCTGTGTTTTGTAGGTACAGAAGTGGGGGTTAGAGAGGGTAAGCAGTTTGCCTACAGATCATACAACGTTGAGAGGTAGAGCTAAGACTTGGATGCAGGTAGGCTGACTTTTGTGTGATGACGCAGAAGTGGTCTTGTTCTCTCCTTAGGGGTATATTGAATGCCGTTCTTTTTTCTTAGCTAAAAGACAATCGAAGAGGGGCAGTTTGTACCTCTGGGATGTTTGCTTCATTCCACACCTTCATTCTCAGCTTCTGGTTTTCTTTTTTTCCAGAACCTCCTTTCTAGCCTCTTCTCCCTATCTTTTCTCACTTTTTCCATGATGCCATCCTTTACATCTTTAATCACATTTATATCTTCAAAGCAGCTCTATAAAGTTTTCTTACAAAATGTAAGGCCTCACATTTGTACTTCAGCACTGACAATTTCAGATCATGCTTCAAATGTCTTCCCCTGAGGTTCAGTTCCTTTGAGGGTGTATAGAATATTCCCTGGGATGGCAGAGAAGGGTTTAAGGGTCTAGGGTTCATAGAGGACCGCAAGCTAAATGTAAGTCAAAACTGTGTTATGATTGTTAAAATGAAAAAGACAGAATTAGCTCAGAATTCTCAGTTTGGGTTCTATCCTGACTGTCATGTAGTCTCAGGAAGAGTTTAAATAAAATATTTTTCTTTTTGAAAATTTTTAAAGCAATTCACACTGTGTAGGTGGTGACAGTGGGCAGGGTGGGCACCAGCTCTTGGCTGCTGCTGTTGCTGCTGCTACTACTCTCTGCACATTAAAATATAACTAAAATGTCAAAAAATAAAACAAAACAAAACATTTATCGGGTGGTGGGCAGGTGGGAGCGGGGAGGAGGGGATGGGTGTATACTTACAAGTGCGATGTGCACCACCTGGAGGATGGACACAGCTCTGACTCAAGGGGGGAGGGGTGGCAAGGACAATATAGGTAACCTTAACAACATTTGTAGCCCCATAATATGATGAAATAAAAAAAATCTAAAAAAAAAAAAGAAAGAAAGAAAATCAAGTTATTACTTTCTTCTCCAGGTTACAGACGAGCCCCCAGCATCTGAGGGCCCGAAGCCAGCTCTCCCTCTTGACAAGAATACTGCTGCTGCCTTGCCCCAGGCATCTGTGGAAGAATCCCCTCTCAGTGTCCCCCCAGTGGACAGCACCATCCAGCACTCCTCTCCGAGTGTGGTGAGAAAGGTACTAATGGAGCCTGTTTTCCCTGACCACATGGGACCCACTGCCAGCCAAGCCCCCAGCCACTTGGATGAGAATGATGGGGTGGGGGGAGGTGTGTCCTTGTTCCATCCTTGGATGCTACACAGCCCTGACTCAGCCCTGCTGTCCTAATGGGTCAGCAACATAGATCCTCTTCAATCCCTGTGCCCATTCCCATGTATACACTTAAACTGGGGCCTACTGGGCTTCATTTGGAAGGGGAAGAAAGCCAATTTAATGAACACTTTCTCTGTTCTTGGAACTGGGTATGGTGCTTCACAAGCATTATCTCACTTAACCCTCCCAACAATTGTGTGAGGTGGGCATCCCTTTTGCATAGCTAAGGAAACCAAAGCCCAGAGCCCTGCAGCTAGTAGAAGAGAGAGCTGAGAGATCTGTTAGAGTCCAAAGCTTGAAGTTTTTCTTCCACAGTGAATATGGGGAACATATTTTAGGTGGCCCCCAGAACCCAAAGTTGGTTGGCCTTAGAATTTGAATCAGTGGAATTTGTTGGGTGAGTGGTTGGTAGGGATGTTCTACAGAGGTAGCTGAGCATCTGGGGCACTGAGATCTCTTAAAGATGAGCTATTAGAGGCCTTCCTCTCTACCCACCTACCAACTTGCTGAAAGCATTTATTTACGATGGAAATAACAAAGAACTCATAAATCCTCAGCTGTCTAGTCTCACTTCTGCCCTTCTAGCCAGAGCCTCAGTACTGTGCCATGCCCTCTTCCCACCCCTTCCTGTGTCCCTTGGCCTTGTTCTACTTACTCTATTGCCTTCTCTGGCCTGGTGCCGTCAGACCTGCTGGTGCCTCCACCCAGGCCTGGACTGGAAGCTCTGTCAGATATTCTGTTCCCTACAAGCCTGTACCCTCAGCCCTATAACATCCCTTTGACCCTGAAGCCCCAGCTGTGCTAGTTGCTCAGTGTACCTAAACCTCACCAGTTCCCCCAGTAGCACCATTGCCATGGATGTCTTAGATCAGTCAGTCTCACTGATACTTGAGAAGAATTTAGAAAAGGAAGGGATGGCAAAAATGAAATGTTAATTTAGAAATTCCTGGTGACTCTTGAAGCTTTTTGTCTATGCCTGTCCTGTCCTACTCTGTTAAAAATGGTTAGGTCTAGAGGCCCTAGAGGTACTGCAAAGGGCCCTTTGTGACTCTTAGGTGTTTCGGTTCTTATATTTGTGCCAGCCACCTGTCTATCAACTTATTTATTCATTCACTATTAAATATATATATTTATATTAATCTCTTCCTATGTGCCACATATTCTGTTAGGTGCCTGGCACACGTTGGTGGATAAGATAGTCCCACACTGGAGCTTACAGTCTAGTAGAAGAAATAGTAATAAGCTGCAAGAATAAATTGTGATGAAGTCTGTGATAGTCCTTGGAGGGTACCCAAATGTCAGTGTCCTAGGGGACATGGTTTTAAGCTGAGAGGAGAAAGCTGAAGGAGGAGAAATTGGGCTAATGAAGACGGGGAAGGAGGAGAGTAAATAGTCAGAGGCGATGGCAACTAGAAAGGTCCAGAAGTGAGAGAAAGCCTAGAGCACTTAGAGAGTATCAGATAATTTAACTTGATAGGAACACGAGATCCTCTGAGCAATGGGAGTAATTGAAACCAGAGAGGTTGGAAGGCCTTTCAAATTATGCTCTGGAGCTGGGATTCAGTCTTTTGGGCTGTGAGGAATGAATGAAGAATTTCCAGCAAGGAGGGACATGGTTTGATTAATTTGAACAGTCACTTTAGCTGTTGTAAGGGATACCAGAATAGTACAGAGGAGAAACAGGAGGTTGAATGAAGTTAGTAATGATGGGGATGAAGAGGAAGCAAGGATTTCAAGAGATACCAGATTGCAGGAGTTTTGGCCTCAGTGCCTGATTGGTGATAGGAGGTGAGGCAGAGAAAGTCCTTTTGCTTAACACCCAGGTCTGTCTTGGCCCACTGGGATGAGAACATGGGGAAAAGAGCATATCTTGGAGGAGGAAGAAGTTAAGTTTTAAATTATCGATGTTCTTCTGTGGAGGATACATTAGAAGATGACTGGAAGGCAGCTAGCTCTAGATGTCACTTGATCAGAAGGAACAACTGAATTGCCAGTGCTCAAGTGGCAGTGGAAGCCATGCAGAAAATGGTGTTGCTTGTTTGATGAGGCTCTGTTCTGTTCCTGTGTGCAGTACAGAGGAAAGGAGGTAAGCCACACATAAGCATGGAGTCTGTGCCACCTGTGCGAGTGGCCCACAGGGCTCTCTCAGCAGCATGGGATGCTGTCTCCTGTGTGGCTGCAGGTTGGCAGTGGGGTTGGCAAAGGTCATAGGAACTCTAAGTTGGCATTTTGAGCTGCTCCTGGCCCTTATTAACTGGGACTCATGCAGAGGTTTGGAGGGGCAGATGGCCTGGCATTGATCATATGTTTTGTAGGCTTCTTCATGGCTTGGGCTCCCATTAAAAGGACCCTCAAGGTTGTCATTGTGGCTCAGAGGAACCTTTGGGTTGACAGAGACAAGTCAACCCTGATAGAGAGATGCACTAGGTTATACACAAAACCACTGCAGTGAGAAAAAGAGCTTTCTTTTTGAGGGAATTTCTTGCCTTGGAGCTGGGGTTGGGCAGGGTGGAGGGTGTGCAGCCTCAGGATACCAAACAACATTTTGAGCATCTAACCACTGAATGATAATATTTTGTATGGTATTTTTCTACTTTTTTCTCAAAGGATTTTACATGGATTATTCCATTTTATCTCTTTGTTTATCCTAGCAATACTATGAGGAAGCCACTTTCTTATTCCCCTTTGAAAGATGTGGAAACTGAGACACAGAGAGGTTAAGTGACCACTTAAGAGTCATACACAGCTAACCATGAGCAATGTTAGGACCAGAACACAGGTCCTTGGCTCAACCTGTGTTCAATGACTAGGTTAAATTGCCTCTCTTTTTGTACAGCAGTAGGAGAAATAGAACTCCATTTGGCCTCTTACCTGCTGGATTTTCCTGAAGTAAGTAGCCTGAGGCTTTGCTGGAGAGAGGTCTTAGAACCCAGCCCATTTTGGTCTGGATTACCTTTATCTGGTAAAGGTGTTTTGGCTTCCAGCCCACTCAGCCTGTGCTGGCTTGTGAGTGCCAGGAAAGTCAAAAGTCTATCTGAGGGTCACAGACCAGAGGACCCTGTGGCTCCAGGTAACTTTCTGTGTGTTCCACACTGACTCTAGATCACCACAAGGAGGAGTTTTGGTAAAGCAGAGCATCTGTGCACACATACCTTGGAGCTGGTGCTAAATGAGTGGACAGTGAAAATGTGTTGCTGTTGAAAATAAGATGTAAAAGTTTTAGAACTGATTTTCTAGTGGCCTGAGCTCTCAGGAGCAGTTTATCCCATCACCTTCCATGCATCCAGCAGGATATTTTTGAATGAATTTTGACATTGTCTGGCACTAGCTGTTGACTAAACTTCCTAATCTTGGTTCAGCCACTCTGAAGAATGACCGTGATTACAACTCTGCGACAACTACCCTTACATCCCAAGTGAAACTGGAAGACATTTTATGGTTTCATTTCATGCTTCTGAACTAGTCAACTGCTGAAAAATACTTTCCTCAAAGTTCTCATGGAGTCAAAGACATAGGCATGACAGAAAGCCCTATTCAAGTCCCAGTTCACCTGCAAGAGGAGCTCTCTTCTGCTACTCATAATGTAGCCCCAGGTCTTCAACAAAGGACTTTGAGGCCACCGGGATGCTGCTCATGGCTTAAGAGGGGTCTGGGATGTATTTCTGGTGAACGATACAGAAGCAGTAGGCATTCCTGTGATCCAGATTATTAAGAGTGATGCAGAGGAGTAAATGACTCAGGTGGATAGCATTTTTACCATTCTCAAAGTACTTTGATGCCCAAACTCTTAATTTGAGTCGTATAACAACTCAGTGAGATTATTATTAATCTCACATTAACCTGTGCATGAGGAAATTAAAGCTTAGAGATGGGAAGTGACTTGCTTAAACTCACACTCGAAACCCTGGCATATGTGAGGAAATACTAGGTATCCTGCCTTAACAGTCTCCAAATCCACTGCTCTGGACTAGATCATGGGTGTTCAACCTCAGCAACAATCTTTTTCTCATAGCCTGGCCCTGGCCTGGCCCTGATAGCATTATAGCAGTTTTGTTCAGAATGTTCTCAGGGCCTGATGAGGCTGGCTGGCTGGCTGGCTGGCTTTCTTTCTTTCTTTCTTTCTTTCTTTCTTTCTTTCTTTCTTTCTTTCTTTCTTTCTCTTCTTTTTCTATTTTATTTTTATTTTGAGACAGGGTCTAGAGTGCAGTGGTGTCATCATAGCTCACTACAGCCTCAAACTCCTGGACTCAAGCAATCCTCCTGCCTCAGCCTCCCAAGTAGCTGGAGTTTATGTGCACACCACCATGCCCAGCTATTTTTCTATTTTTTGTAGAGATGGGTATTGCTGTGTTGCTCAGGCTGGTCTTGAACTCTTGACCTCAAGCTATCCTCCCATATTTGCCTCCCAGAGTGCTAGGATTATAGATGTAAGCCATGGTGCCTGGCCTGGTGAGGCTTTCTGAAGGCACAGCCTGTGTCCTGGTCAGCATCTCCAGAATGATACACTCTTGTTCTACTCAGGAATCAAGCCAAACACTCCCAGATCTGACTCTCTGAATTTAGCACCCTCTATAAAACCTGTCTCCTTAGTTCTGTACTGATTTCATTCACAGATCAAACCTATGCTCTTTATCTGGGTCTCTTGGCCCATGAGAAAACAGGTCCTTGCTCCTAGACCTTAAGTTTCCTACACTAGCCTGGGCAAAATGCCTCTGACCTAATTCTCCTGAGTTTCCAAGGTTTAGGTTTTGAGAGTTCCACTCATCTGGCTTTCATTTCAGACTTACTGGAATCTACTTATTCCTTTCCTCTTGATTCCACTTCAGACTCTGGGATCCTTTTGGTTTTCTGTCTTTCCTGGATTA